CGGTGCCAGTGAGCTGGAAGTGCTGCTGTTCCCTGGGGYTGGAGAGCGTGGGGAGAGCAAAGGGCAGGGGGGCACTGCAGGGGCAGCCTCACCGATCTCAGTCAGGGCTGCTCTCTCCTCCATCTCCCCTCAACATCGACAGAAATCTCTGCTTCCCTYTTCTCCGTTTCTCCAGGAATCTCCACTCCTTTTTCTGACTCTCTGAGTTAGCCTTAGTGGGAAAAGGGACAGCAGGGGCTCGTATACCCCTAGAGCTGTGCTGATGCGCAGCCAAAAGTGCCAGGAGCCCCCAGCTGGGGCAGCAGGATGGGCACGATGGGCTTCAGTGGCGTGTGCCCACTCTGCTGTCCTGGTTCCAGGGACCCTGGGGACCTGCCACGGCTCTGCTTAGTCCCAGGGCTAGTCCTACCCCACTACCCCACCATCCTGGTGGGTCTCTACCAGTGTTGCTTTCTCCTCTGGGAGCCTGCTGGGGATTTGATTCTCCCCTCTTCACCCTTGSCAGTCCTCTGCCTCATTCCCACATGCCCTCCCTTTCCTTGGATGAGATCTTTCCCTTAAGTCCAGAGTTTCCCCTCCTGGCCAGGAGTTAAGTAGGCTCAGGCCATCTGAAATGCCTTGTTAAGCAGATGTGTCTGAATTTAGGCTTTGGGCTTGGTGTCTGCGAGGCAGATTCCACATCCCATGAGACCTGAGCAGAGCAGGGGTGGAAGAGCCGGGGTGCTGGCTCTCTTTGGGATCCTAATGATCAGTTCTGCATGCTGAGGGGCTGGTCATGGCACCGAGAGCTTTATCGAGGCTCCTCCATCCGTGCCAAGCTCAGCCAGGGCTGCGGAAGCRCCTCGGTCTCTGTCGGAGGGCGATAGCTGCGTCGAGATAAGCCCGCTATCAGATCCCCGGGGCTGGCCCCTCCCATCGCTGCAGGGCGGCTCCGAAGCATCCCCTCCTCGCGGGAGAAGGTCCCCAAAGCCCCGTGCGAGGGGYCCCCAGCCAGCCCCGAGTTGGGGTGCAGCACGGAGAGGCCTCTCCCGCAGCTCCACAGGGCAGGGTTTGACTCCGCTCCAAAGCTCCAAACCATGAGACTAAACACTTGCTGAGCAAAGCTGCCGCCGAGGGTCCCGGGGGACGGCTGGGGATGTGTCATCCCGCTCCCGAGCCAGCCCCGAGCTCCAGCGGTGTCACACAGAGAGTGGCTTTGCCGGGGGGTCCGGATCCTGCCCCTGCCCTCCCCCTGGCTCCTGCGGGGCTGTGCCAGGTCCCCTGCTGGGCACGGGGGCGGCACTCGGAGCCGTGTCCCGCGACAGAGGCTGCGTTCGTCTCGCCTCCAGCCCATTGTCTTGTTTATTTGTCACGGTTGGTCCCCAATTAGGAGTTTGAGCCKTTTGGGACAAGGGACTGTTTCTTCCCATGTGAACGTGCGGTTCCCGCTCCGCCGGGCTGTGATGTGGCCGGCGACCCGCAGGAGCATCTGCTATTGCAGCAACAGTGCCCGAATGCGTTTCAGATGGGCTCGGCTCCGCTTTCCGTGCTCGGGCCGGCGGCCAGCCTGGGATGGAGCCTCCAGCGGGCCCTCGGGATGCGATGTTCCCGTCCTCGGGGACGCGGCTTGGGGACCTGCGGGGGAGATTGTCACCAACCAAACGCGTCTGGCCAGCACGGAGCCTTGGGGGGACCCCTGGATGGGGAAGGGGCACCAGCAGGTCCGACCCGGCCCGGGTGCGCACAGGGGAAGGCGGSACGCTGCACCTGGGGCGTCTCAGCGAACGATCCGACCGCCGTGCCCGGCTCTGCCGCTGCGGTCAGCCCCGCTCGGGATGCTGCCGCCGGCTCAGCCCCGGTCACCCCGCGGAGGGGACGCGCAGCCCCGGCCCCGCACCTGCCCCCGCGGCCGGCAAGTCCCGTCTGGCCGGTGGCCCCGGGGCAGCGCAGGGCCCGTCCGGCCGGGTTCGCGCGGCGTCAGGCAGCACATGATCCGCGCCGCGGGGCCAAGGGCTGAGGTCAGGCAGTCACACCCAGGCAGCGGCACTGACTTCACCGCGGGCAGGAGCAGCTCCTCACGTATCCCGCTCCCCGAAGGCAGCGCTGACCCGCCGCTCGGGGCCCATGGTCAGGCTGCTCCGTTATCGGGGCGCGGGCATCGCTCCCATCGCAGCGGATGGCTCCCCGGAGCCCCTCYTGGCTCTCGTCCCAGCCAAAACGGCTTCTCTGCTCCTGGGGCTGAGGGGAGTCACTGACAGGGTCCTGCCGGTGCCGCCGGGGAAGCCGCAGCGCTGGTTCCTTCCCGGTGCTCCCGGGCCGGCTCGCGGGGCTGGCYCGCTTCCCCGGGGCGCCGGCTGGGTGGGATCAGCCGCTGGCTGAGGTAATTGAAAGCCCTTTCCATTTCTCCCGAGTCTGGGATGAGCAGGGCAGCGCGCCCCGGCTCGCTGGGGCGATGGCACGAGCCGGAGGCCGCCGCCGGCCCCGGTTCCAAAACCCCGGGGGAGGGTAAAGGAAGAGATTTGGGGAATTTTAGGGGCTTGTCCGCGACTTTCCAAGGAAGGAAGAGTTAATCCTCCGCCTGCTGCTAATGAGCCTTAACTGGGAATGACCCGRCACAGGGGAGAAGTGAACCCATTGTCCTCCCCTGTGTTTGACTGTCTTCCAGGGAGACTCATGAAACGCAGAGCCGGGGCGTGAGTTCCCRATTTATGTCAGGAGGCTGTGATTTATTCTATTTATTTATTTTTGCCATCTGGTTGAGGAGGGATGCTGAACGCAAGCGTGAGAAATCCAGATGTGCGCAGCTCCTCGCTCCCGCGCAGGGAGCCATCGTCCCCAGCCCARCTCCCGGCCCCGCCGAGCCCAGCCCTGCCCCCGGTCCCCGACACCCCTCGAGCTCCCCGGGACGGGGTGGTGGCACTCCCAGGCACCTGCCACATCCCTGGTGGGGACGAACTGTGGGTGTTGGCACAAAGATGGGCTAAGTTTGGGTGTCCGGTATAGGAGACTTGGGCTTCCCTAGGAGATGTTGGCCAAACAACGCCGTGGTGACAATAGCAATGAGGACACCTGTGTGTCGCAGCTGCAGGATCAGGGTGACCCTGGCAGCCAATCGTGGTGCCATGGTGACAGGTGCTGCAGGACCTGGCCGTGGGGCACAATGCCCATCCTAAAGGGATGATGCCCTGCCTGCCCCATGCCTGTGTTCTTGGGGCATTGTGTTGCTCTGAGGACRTCGGGTCTCACAGTGCAGGCAGGAAATGGGTCCCACAAATGGGCTGCAACCCAAAAAATGAGCATCCTCCAGGGCAGGGGCACAGGGGACACCCAGGRCCCCTTCCCTGGTGACAGGCTGGGATGGTGGAAGAAAGCCCCATCATGCATGGGGACACACTGTGGCATCCAGGGATGTCCCCAGGTGCTTTGGGTGTGGGATGGGGGATTCAGTTCCATTTTGGCGTTTGCCCCTTCCATGATGGGACATCAGGGCCGGGCTAGAGGTGGGCACTGCTGTCCCTGCTGTCACCACTGTGCAGCACCAGGCAGCAATTGGCACAAGGCGGTGCCAGTTTGGGGTCAAACCCATGCACGAAACCTCCCCTAGGAGCTGGGGGACACAACTGGACAGCACCACCCTGCGGGACAGAGGAAGAGGGGTTTGGGGGGCAACTTCTACATTTCTGCAATGATCTTTAGGTCGGGGCTCCTCTGAGACACCAGAGATGATCACACAGGATCTTAGCTCATCCGCTTGCTGTCTCATGCCTGGGAGGTTTGGCCAGTGGCCCAAGGGCTCCGGAGGAGGAGGAAAATTTCATCATCCTGCTCTAACGTCTCCTGTATAATCAGCCTCTTGTTAACCGATACAGCCCCATGCGAGCCACTTGCTGAGGGCCGGGGCACTGCTGCAGCCTTAGGTGGTCTTGGCCCCGGCAGAGCTCTGCTGAGCCTCTCCCAGCACAGCCTGGGAAGTGACTGGGGTTTTGTCTGCGGTGTCCCCTGCACCTCACGCATGCTCACTCAGCTCTCYCAGCCTCTTCCAGAGCCGGCTTTAGCTTTTCCCTGTGCCCCCAGGAACTTTCAGGGGTGCCAGAATGGGGCTCCCCACATCTCGATACCCCACACACTGCGATGGTTCCCTGATCAGGATGGTACCCATGCCATGATGGTCCCCACATTGCCATGGTACCTACACCCCAATGCTCCCTGTCCAGGACAATCCCTGCACCACGATGGTMTCCACACCACAGGGATCCACACACCACGATGGTMYCCACACCACARGGATCCACACACCACGATGGTCCCCACACCACAGGGATCCAYACACCACGATGGTGCCCAGACTGCCATGGCCCCCACACTGCCATGAACCCCACATTGCCATGGCCCCCACACCACAATGATCCCAGCATCATCTCAGCACTTTTGAGCAGCTGGTGAGTGACAATTGAAGAATTTCCCCCTGTAAAAATGTATTTTCCAAACAGCCATCCCATAGGAAATGGGAAGGAAGGAAGGAAGGAATGAAGGAAAGAACAAGGTGACAGGGGACTGTGATCCACAGCGATGCCTCTGTGGGGTTTTGGGGGAGTCCTGAGGGTGTTTTGGAGGAGCAGAGGTGTCTGAGGGTGAACACAAAGGGGACCCAGCAAAGAGGAGCCAAATACAGTCGGTTTCTGTTGGTTTATTTAAAAAAGGAGGGCAAGAAGTATAAAAAAATAAATATTTAAATAGGCCTTTGTGAATATATTACCACAAATCTTATTAATAATTATTAATTATTATTAACAATAAAATTATTAAAAGTCAGGTCAGATCTCTCAGTGCATGCCGGGCTTCCCACAGAGGCAATAAATAACCCTCTCAGCCCGCTCTGGTGTCAGGAGCGAGCCAGCCCCTCCTGCCACCGGCCTGGGGCCCGTCCCTGCGTCCCCAGGTCCCCATGTCCCACACCCCTCTACCCCATGTCCCCATGTCCCCATGTCCCCGTGTACCATTTCCCCAGTGCCAGAGCTGCATCCAGCTGTGCAAAGCCCAGCTTGGCCGTCAGTACATTCAGAGCTCTTCCAATGGGAAAAGCATTTTTCCAAAGGAGAGGACACTCCATGCCCCGCCGTGCCCGCGCGGGGGGTGATGCTCCACAGTGGGGGGACCGCCCGCTCTGTCCCCCACGGGTGGCCTTGTCCCAGACGGTGGGACCTGGCCCCAGCCACCACAGCCACTGGGACCCTCAGTTCGGCTCCTTCCAGGGGAGCCCAGCCTTAAAATGTGCAGGGGGAGTGTGTCCCCGTGTCCCCGTGTCCCTGGCAGCCACTGCATCCCAATGTCCTTCCTCGCAGTCCTTTTTCCAGAGCAGTGGCAGCTTCCAGGCGCTGCTCRAGGGTGTCTGTCCAGTTTCTCTCCATGCTGGACAACATCCATGTGGGACAGAGTCCGGCCCTGCCGCCAGCCCCACAGCTCTCCACACCCTCTGGGAGCACAGGGATGGCTGAGGCACATCCCGGGACCAGCCCACGCCCCAGCATCTCCTCAGCGACGCACTGCCTTGTCCCGCTGGATGCTGGCTCTGCTCCTGCCAGGACTCCAGGCTGCAACCTTCACCCCTTCAAGGGGCAATAAGTTACCGGAGGCCAGACGGGGCCAGCGCAGGRTCCGGGTAATAAATAGGAAGGCGGGAATTGGGGAGGCAGAGTAGCTGGGGCAGGTGYTCATGAGGGGCTGAGATGAGGTAGGAGCACACGTGCCGCCTGGCCGATCACCTGCACGTACTTCCTGAGCACCTGGCAGCCCTGCTGCTTCTTCTTGAAGGCACTCTTGCCCTTGGAGCTGTCCCCGTACCTGACGTCCACCTGGAAGATGTTGTAGTTCTTGCAGAGGAGGCAGGTGAGGTTGGAGATGAGGCCTCGGGTGGTCTTGGTGGTGTTGTGGAGCCGCTCGAGGAGCTCCTTGGCCATGGGGTTGAGCTCCTCCTGGTCGCGCGTGATGTTCCCCAGCGAGGCGTTGAGGAAGGCGAAGAGCTTGTACATGGCCACCATCACCTCCTTCCTCTCGCTCGTCCGGTTGACGCGGAACGCGGGGAAGAAGATCCCGGCGGGGTTGCAGAGCTTGTCGGTCTCGCTGCTGAAYGGTTCTCCCTGGCACTTCAGCTGGGAGGAGAGGGGACTGTCACCCCGTGTCCCCTGTGTCCCCCTCGGCCACCTCCTGCCCCCCTGCCCCGGTGTCCCCAGGTCTCCCACTCGGTGCACGTGTGGATCAATCCCCCCTGGGGGCCCCGGCCATCCCCAAGCGCCACTTACATAGAGGCTGAAGAGTTCCTGGGCAGTGGCGTTGAGCACGGCCACCTGCCTGCGGGTCTGCTCCTGGACGTTGGAGCGGCACAAGCCGTGGCCGGGACAGCCGGAGCCGGTCACCAGCAGCGCCCGGCCGGCCACCGGCCGCCTCTGCAGCAGCAGCAGGGCCACGAAGGGCACGACGCCTGTGTGGGGAGAGAGGCCGGGGTCACGGCGGGGAGCGGGACGGGGCGGTGGCGGCCCGCGGGGACCGGGCTGCCGCTGATGCAGAGCATCCACCGAGGCCGAGCGCGGTTCCGGGCACCCAAAAGGAGGGTGTCCGGCTGGAGCGGGGACTCATCCCGCTTGGGTGCGTGTCCAGCGCGGCTGGAAGTGCCCGGACCCCCCACTCTGCCGTCCCGGCCGTGCCGCGGCTCCCGTCCCGCTGCCGTCCCCCTCACCTGCCCCCCGGCAGGCGCTCCCCCGCCTCCCTTCCCGGCGGGAGGCCCCGCAGCATTCCCACATTTCGCAAGCGGCCCGGTGGCGACCTGGCGGGCTCAATCAAATGTGCAAAACGCTTTTTCCTCCGTTATCCCGGTCCGGGCGCTGGGGGAGCAAGGCCCCACCCCGGTCCGGCTGACTCAGCGGGGCTCCCTCAAGGAAACCTGCTTTCGGCGTGCCCTCCCTCCTCTCTCCCGCCCCCGGCCCCACCGCCTGCCTCAGTTTCCCCGTCTGCGAAGCGGGCGCAGCGCCGAGGAGCCTTGGGGACAGAGGACGCAGCTGCCAGAGGCTCCCGCCAGGAAATCCCTTGACGCGGAACAAGGGGACCCTTGAGSCGCCGGCAGCTGGGTCTCCCCGCCGTCCCCGTCCTGAAAGCGGGGCGCTGCGACCCCCCGGCCATTGGGACTCCCCCAAACCGGGATCCATCCCCGCTCGGGGAGGCCGAGCAGCCTCTGGAGCCCCGCCACTGTGCCGGGCATCCTCGGGGAGGGTGGCCCGGGTGTCCCCGCTGCTGGGTGACCTGGACGCCCCCAGCAGGGCCCCGTCAGGATGGGGGTCCCGTGCCCGCCGCGGGGGTGCTGACGGGCCAAGTCCCCGGGCCGTGACGAGCGCCGAAGTCTCCCGCACTTGTCAGAGCCTCGGACGTGCCACCGGTGCCGGGTAATCCAAGCCTCGATTTATTTACCCTGCCCGGGTGGGAGAGGACTTACCTGGGCGTGTTGCGATCCCTGACCCGCCGCTCCCCTCCCGCCCGGGACGGGGGGACCCCGCCTCCCCGCGCCCCCGGGGCCCTGGCTGTTCCCACGGGACGCAGATTCCCTGACCCCTCGCAAGCCCCTCTCGCTGTGTCCCCCGGGCAGCTGCTCCTGACCATTTCACAGCTGGGCAGGGCGAGGCTCGGCACCCACGTGTGCCCGGGGCTGAGTGGATGGGGGGTCCCGGGTGGGTTCTGCCTCGTGGGACCCCACAACACTGCTTCTGGGGTGGGGGCTGCTCCCTCCAATCCCCCCTCCTGCACTTGGCAGCCTCCCCGTCCTTCCAGCGCTCCCGGCACCACAGCGGCTCGCGGCATCGGGAGACCCAGAAGGAGGAAAAGCAGGAGCGTGGGGGAAGTATTTAAAAGTAGAAAAAAGTCAAAAAAAAAAAACCTCCCCCCCTCCTTGAGATTTTTTTTTTTTTTCTTGGAAACATTTCCAGTTATATAAGTGTCCAGATGTTGGCTGCACCGCGCCAGCGCCGCGCTCCGCTCCCGCTGCCAATTCCCAGAGATGCTCATCCCGGGGGGGACGCAGCGCGGCGGGAGCCCTCGCTCCGGCTCCAGCGGCGGCATCCAAGCGGGACCCGCCTGCACCCGAGCATCACCGGCCAAAGGAGGGGAGGGGGAGGGAAGAAGAGGGAGGGGGAGAAGGGGAAATAATATCCCCAAAGTCGATTTTATTTTTTTTTTACCTGCCGGCACGAACTTCATTGTGAGCCGCGTCCCGGGAGCGACTTAATAGGGATTGGTGTTGGCAGAGGAAGTTTTCAGAAATTCATGTTCATACTGGGGGACTTCTCGGGGTTTATATACCGGTCCGGCAGCCAGCCTGTGTTGTAAGAGGGGAGGAGGAGAGGGGGGGGTGGGGGTGAGAAGCTCCGCTATCATTATTTCTATTCAAAGTGGAAATCAGGAAGTCGGAGGGGTTTGGAATTAATGAATGATTGTTAGAAATAAAGTTCTTCAAGTTGATGTCACCCGGAGTTTAGTGTCGTGTTTTGTTTCACGCGCGGGCTTGGGGACGTGGGAGGCTGGGAAAGATGAATTGAAGCCCCCCCAAGGGAGGGGAGCGACTCCACGTGGGGTTCGGGGGTGTCGAGGCGCGATGGTGAGCGCTCCTTGCGTGACTCAGGAGCCGCAAACACTTTCACCCCCGCGTCCCCCTCCCCTGGCCGGGGCTTCCCCGCTGGCTGCCGGAGAAGGCAATCAAGGGAAGGAGGTAAAAAAGCCTGGACTGGGGGTTTTGGGGGGGTTCTGGAAGGTTGGAATGCACGGGGAAGTGGTGGCAGGGTCCCGCAGCACTCGGTCACGGTGGCACACCGCGRTGGCAGCGGTGTCCCCCAGCCCGCCCGTGGCTCATCCCTTTGGGCAAAAATATTCCAATCAAAGGGTGGGTTTTCCGCAGGAAGAAGGACAAACCCACCCAGGGGGAGAGGCTGGACCGGCCCCCCCAGGGTTAACCCTTCCCTCGGCCGGGCTGTCCGCTGCCCGGAGCGGGCACAGGGTGCTGGGGCGGACAGGAGGGCGCTGGGTCACTGTCTCCGTGGGATGCCGTGGGATCAGGATGCTGGAGCTGCTCGCTGCCCGATTTGGGTGAAAAACAGGTTAAATGGATTTTTTTGTACTTCTCCGTATTTTTTTCTCACCGGAGCCGAGCTGGAACTTTAATCAGGTTTAGCAAGTTTGTGCCCCGGCAGGTGAACCGGCGGTGACAGTCCAGGAACGATGACGAAAGAGCCATCACGACCCCGGGTGTCCCCTCTTGGAGGGTGCGACACGGCCAGGGGGACACGAAGAGCCCCCTGTGCAGGGGGGATGGTCCATAGCTGCTTCGTGCCTCAGTTTCCCCATGCAARAACCACCCTGGGTGGCCGGTGGCATTGATGCCCCAGCAACCAAAGCCCAGTTTAGTCCAGTCAGGTCTTACTGGGACAGCAGAGATGAGCTGGGGGCTGTGGAGGGTGGGGAGGATGACCCCCATCTCCCGCTCTGCAGCCTCATCCCAATCTTTTTGGGGTGTGGAGAGTTGCACATCACATATTAATGGACATCTGAGGGCCTGACGCACTTAATTAGCAGAGGAATTAACAGCGCTTAATTATTAGCATAGGGAACGTCCTGGGGCGGTTGTGTGCACGGCTGACACGGATCTGCCCTTTTCCTGAATTTCCCAGGAGCGGCTCAGTCCGGGCTCGAGCCGAGCTGAGCTTTGGGATCCCATCTATTATAGATTTTCCTGGGGCGTTTGTGGGGCGGGGGTTTGGAGGGTTGGAAGGTGCAGGAGGTGGTGGTGCGGGCCCCGAGGGATGGGGGATCCCTGGTGGTGGTGGGACCATTGCTGTGACACCGATGTCCCCACCTCCAGCTCAGCCCTTCAGGTAAAAATATTGCGATTGAAGGGAGGATTTTTTAGAAAAAAAAGACAAACCCGGGAGGAGACGCTGGACCTCTGCAGGGCGGGGGATGTTCTGGTGGGAAAACCCGAATTCTTGGTGCAGGAGGGCTGTGTGGGGAGATGCCGGGATGGGAGAAGATGCCCAGGAATGTCTCCTTTCCCAATCCCTTCGGTGGCAGGAATATCCCCACAGGGATCCTGTGCGGGTCCCGATGGAGATGGGCAGCAGGAGCGGAGATGCGGGAGCCGGTGACAGGGKKGGGGTCCCAGGGTGTCCCRGGGAGGGGGCGGGAAGGGGGGACCCAGCCCTCCCTGTGGGTGAGGGCAGAGGGTCCGGGGACCTGCGGGGTTTGGGGGCCCCGGGAGGAGCTGGGGCAGGTTGGTCAGGGGATATCTGTCCCCTCTGTCCCCTYCATCCCYAYCTCTGACCTACCCAGGGACATGGAGACAAGCCCGGGGTGTTCCGAGGCCACCGCTGCCAYGCTCTGTGTCCCCCCGAACTGTCCCCTCTGAGTACCCCGCCCCATAACTGTCACAGCTCC